TATTACTGTAAGTGTGAAGTGATAAGGTTTACTGCAAAAACATGGTTTGATTGCTTTCCCAGCTGTGCATGTTAAACTTCAGAAGTACCCAAAATGTTATATAGGAGAATGGTTTATTATAAAAGACTGTACATAAACTTGACAAGTTATATACAAATTAAGTGAAGACTTTCCAATTTATAAAGAAAATACAGGTAAATTATTGGTTGCTAATTTTTCAGAAGGTGATATTAACACTTAAAGCAGAAAGCATTTGGAAGTTACAATGATTTTAGGGAGGAAGGTGAAGAAGTTCCCATATTTCTAATTTTACACTAGAAAAGAAATGATGCAGCAACCAATCAAGCTTGCAACCAATCAAGCTTCCAACCACCAGTCTTTTAGCACTTTGTTATAGAAGTGTACATTTAATACCCCAGTAGGACAGCACTTTAAAGTCCAAAACAAATCTTTACTACATACAATAATAGAGCATACTACATACTCTACTTCAGATAAGCTAAGCACTACAGTTTTGTATAAACTGAAGTGAACATCCCATCTGACTTTTTGCCCAATTTCCCATAATGAAGTGGAGAGGCAAAGTGCATTTGTCACTTTCCAATAAACAGGATGTGAATATCTGTCCCCCGCTTTCTGTATGACTGCTAGCTCTGACTGCCTACTTGGTGTATTATCAGCTTCAAACATACAAATTTGTCCTGCTGGTCCAGCATACAGTTTGTATTTAGTAATGTCAGTTGCAGCAAACTGAAACTAATTATTAAATTACAGTGAGTTCAACACTCAGCTGAGAATCCTTTAAGTACTTAATTTTAGCAGTACTTGAACCCTTTACCCACTAATTTTGAAAGAATGTTCTGATAAGTGGATAATTTTCAGGTTTGGTATATTTGTTTGCCCACTAATGTCAATGTTAAAAATAAGGCTACAACACTTGTCCTTAGTTTAGTACATTGCTAGTGATACCACAATCATAAATTGGCTTACTTGGCAAAGCAATTAGAAGTGCTGACAAAGTAATGCACAAGACCTTTGGTTCCACATATATTTATGAATGGAAAAGTTGTAATGCAAATTTACTCATTTAAAAAAACTTGGTACAAATTACACATACATAAGACCACCCATTTTTGATTCACATGGACACCGTAGAGACTCAAGCAATTCATTGCAATAGATTTTAGTGAGTTCTCCAGGTAGAGATTACAACAAATTGGAAGCATCTTGGATTTTTAAAAAAGTATATTTCAATACATAAGTTTGTATGCATGCTTTAAACAATTATAGTTCAAGAATGAGCAAGAGTCTAACAAAAAGTAATATGACCAGCACTGACATTAAACTTTTCACCCAGATTTTTAATATGTTAGTCTAACTTAATGTTAGTTACCATGCTGCACTGAAAAATGTAATGGCACAATCTGAATCATGGTTCATTAAATATTATACCCTACTTCCCAAGAATATTTAGGCTGGTCATAAAATTAACAATGCGTAAGTAAATAAGCATAACCAGTAATAAGACAGTTGCTTGTTTTACAAATAGCTATCAGGTAAGACAAACTGTCTCCAAAGATTTATGCTTATGGAGATGGACATTCTTCAATCATACCATTAAAACAGTATGGCCTGAAAAGATGGGCACATTTTTTTAAAGTGTATTAAGACAATTGTTAACTTTTAGTTACCTCTTGTAAATAATCATGGTATGATTGAATACAAGACCCAACTTGAAAAGCAAAGATTCTAATCAGCATAGTGCATGATTGATTCAACATAATTTCCAGGGAACAGGCCAGTCACTCGATTGCAAACTCCTTCATACCACCCATCATCATTCTTCTTTATCACATAAATGATTGCACCTTCCATAAATGACAGCTCATCATCCTTGTCCTTTGTGTAGTCATATATAGCAACAACTAGGGATGAAAAGAGTCAGACAAATTAGTTTGCCATGTACTATTACACAATACACAGCATTTTAAAGTGCAGGTCTCATATTTAAGTGACTAGTAAGGACATCTCAGGGTTTTCAGTGTTGGTCTCAGTGATTCCTGTATCTAATGTGCTCAGTTTACAAATAAAGTCATCCCCCAACTCTCCCCCACCCTTTCAACATGAAATCTGGAGAGTCAAGATAAATTTTCCTCTTAACATTACCACCAGTAAAGAAGGTGTACAAGCCCAATTAGGCCCTCAATTAAACTTTTGGCTTGCACAGGTGTAATTGATGGGAATGTAGAAAATGTTTCAGAGATTTATGAAAAGGAACAGAATCCAGTTCACGGAGGTGTAAAAAAAAAAGTAAACTGTTAGCCTTGCAGCCATAACACTGTTTGTCACAGCAGATAGAACCTGAAATACACACCTCTGTTAAGGTACTATTTCTATAATTTCGTAGAGTAGAACCTTCCCAAGGATAAAATTAGCTATTCACTAAATGCTGGCCATGTTTATGTAGTGCAGCTTTTCGCGAAAATCCTAAAGAAATCAGATCCAAAGGGACGCTGTTAAGAGGCATCTCTCCTACTTATAAGTGGCATATAACAGTGCTGTGGAGCTAAAGATTCCAACTTTGCAGATTAATCTTAGAACTAAATTCACCAGCACAGGAGTAATTTTTTCAATTTTTTAATTTAGGAGATTTTTAGCTCCAAAATAAATTAAGGTTGCAATCACTCAAGAATTAGGAAATTCCAGAATTGAGGTTCCCTATACAACCTTAAATTGGCCTCCAATTTACATTTTGATAGTTTTTAAACACATGACCACATCCTATATTTTTCCATAAGACCTTCAGGGTGCAGGCTGAACTGTGCTCTGGTAATAAATCAGGGTTGTTTAGTGAAAGAGGCTGTTGGCTGTAGGGCCCCTGCCCCAACTGTTGCGAAAGTTGGAAGGTATGTAGCACATGAGGAAAGGAACTGCATCGAAGAGAGGAAGGTCTGTTGGTTAAGATTGTTGAATGCTGCTCTGGAGAATTAAATTCCCTCTATCACTCCCTCTGCCACGAGTTCCTATGTGATGTTAGGCAAGTCACATAAACCAAAGCTTTGACAAGCGGCCACTGTGTTCCTCATTTTCTAGGTGCTTAAACTTGATGCTAGTGTTTGATTTACGGAAGTGCTGAGCACTCAGATGCAACTGAAGTCAATGGGAGCTGTGTTCAGAACATAAAATGTTAAGTCCCCTGCTATAATACTAATGCTATTAAATGTTAAGTACTCTGAAAAATAAGGCCCTAGGCTTTTCAAATTATGGACCTAAAGTTAGTGGACACTACTTGCTTTAATCTTTGTGCCTCATTTCCCCCTGTATAAAATGGAGATAATACCACCACCTCACAGGTGACAAAAGACAAAGACAAAATTAACTGTTTGTCAAGAACTAAGATGTGAGCACAAAAGAGAAGCCACTGAGGAAAATTAACAATTCTGTAATCAGTTCACGGTTTGGAGGGTGCACAGCAAATAATGCCTGGGGCCCCACATTGAATGATTAGCATAAAAATATGGAAGTAGTAATGATTCAGTGAGCACATTTCATCCTGTACACTCAATGAGGCAGGGGTCCTATGGAAAAAATAGCATGTGATTATGTAAATGAAGACAAGCCATCTGCACAAGAGGGCCAAATTAGTGTTGCACAAACAGCCTTAAGTCTGACATTTCATAAGTGTTGAGTGCTTGACATTTCAACCTTAATGTACTTTTTATGGATGAAAGATGGATTTATGTTGGGGGCAGAGGGCGGGCAGAAGGAAAAAAAAAAAAAAAAAAACAAACTTTCCACAGTGAGTAATTACAGTGGTAGCATTGATCAGTTTCATGCTCCTTAGTCAGTTCCAAGAGTGTACACGTGGCAGATATCTGGAGAAGGGAGTGACTTACGGTCTGGGCACATTAGTAAAATGAACCTATGTTGGCATCACTCAAATGTCTATAAACTCGTGCTGAAAACAGTTTAGCAACTAATGAAGATGGAACATAATAGTTTAACTGTTACAGGGAAGAAAACATACTCCAAACTCCAAAATCGATCACTATCACATTTTCCCTAACTGTGAAACATTTCCCCTCTCGACAGTGGCAGCCAAATCATCTTAAACACCAGGTCACAGGAAACTTGTTGCTGGCAGTTGTCACAAACTGGTTATTTTCTTAGCATAGACTGACCCTACAGCTAGGAAATTGGCATGTCAGTTATTTGCAGAAACAAACATTGCCAGTCTTATGAATGAGGTAAAGAGTTCCATATGCAAATAGGATTTAAAATACTCTTAAGACATTTCTCAAACAAAACCACTATAATTTTACCGTTAAAAGGCTAACGTAAGCCAACTTTATCATCTCATTTATTCAACATCAAGGGAAAAATCCCACAAATAATCAGTAGGGCCAAAAAGCCTGGTCTTTCAATGAGGTTATTTCTGGATAGACATCCAGCAGGGTTGACACAGCCATTGCTGGTCTAGAAGTGGGCTGTAGCCCATGAAAGCTTAAGCTCAAATAAATTTGTTAGTCTCTAAGGTGCCGCAAGTACTCCTGTTCTTTTTGAAGATGAATTAAATCCAATTTACAGCTATTTCTTGTAATGATGGATTACTTCTCCACTTCCTTCCAGAGTACTTGAGTGTATCAAGGACTCAATTTGTTACACTGGGCACAGCCACTGAGAAGTTAGGAAAGAATGGTTATAAGTTTGGACTGAGCAGGGAGATTTTGGTTTCCTTTCATCAGAGGCTACAAGTTAAATTGCAGTTATGTATTGCCACCATGTCAATGTATGGACTGAACTCTTACCTTTCTCAATATAGTTTTTAGGGGCCCAAGCAGGGTCTCCATCTGCATACGGATCACTGTACTGCACTACTGCAGCTTCCTCATCCTCATAATCCACAGGGGGAGGGGGAGGAGGAGGAGGAGAATCATCAAACATAGGCATCTCATCTGGAGGTGGTGGAGGAGGAGGAGTTGGACTATCAGCAACTAAAAAACGTTTGAAGATTTGCATCAGAAACAGTAACGTAAACCTTAGGCGGTGCATTGTAGAGAAAGAGAGCATGCACTACAATACCATGCACTGCTTAGAAACAAAGGCTTTACATGTTAAAGCTACAAAACACAACTATGTTATTAGTGGTCAAATCTATGTATAAATGCTACTAGAGTCAAAGCACATGCTCCAGAGGGCATAAGCTGATTGCCAGCAGATAGAAAGAATTTTTGTCCCATCTCCATGTATGACAAGTGACTAGATGCAATATACACATATGCAAGGGGATGACGGGCATCCTCAGAACCAGGAGGTAACTGGGCACCATGATGAATCAGTGGTTTGACATGGTTTTGCAAATCCTGTGTTAATGCATTTTGTATATACTTCATTTCTGTTATTCTGAGCACTAATTTATTTGCTTCTGTCTTACTTTGAGAATTATCTTTTTACAAAATCTGGTGTAGGACAAGAAGGGAGGGAAGTCATTAGTATATCAGATGTGACTAGGTCAGAGAAAACAGAATACTACACATTCAGAGGCAAAGCTTTGTACAGACCCTTATCTTGCAGGATAGTCTATGAGCACACGCCCTGGATTCAATTAGTGAATTAATGCAAATGGAGGATAGGCAGCCACTGCTCTCAGGGGAGATACATGAGGAATTAAATGCATGATTCAAAATATTCAATCTCTAAAAAGATTCCAATATCAGCACAATTACTAGTGGCTTTGGGATAGGGAGAAAGGAAATCTATCACCAATATTCAGAATGGAAAAATATCAGTCAAGAACAGTACAGCAGCTCTCCCTAGAGAACCTTTGCCATACAGGCCACAGACTTCCTCCCCCAAGCCTCTGATATTCACACACTCCTGCAGGTCCCACTGTTCTCTGCACCAGGGAGTGCCCTGGCAGCTTTTTTATGCCGCTTTTACAGCACTGGTGAATGCAAGCGGTGCTGGATTGTCTGTGCATCCTGCGGTGTCAGAACACGCCGGTGCCGAGGGTCTCTTAGACTAGAGTCCCTCCGCGGCACCGTGTTACATACTGATGCCAGGGCACTCCATACAGACAGACACTCTCGGTGCGGGGTCCTGGCAGTCCGCGGCAGACTGGGGATGAAGGGCGGATTCCATGAGCAACTGCTTCAATCGGAAATCTCGCTCCTCTTTAATTCTGGGGCGGAAAGCCCTGCAGATCTTGCACGTTTCTATCTGGTGCACCTCCCACAGACACGAGTCGTGGGGATTGCTTGTTGGCATAGGCTTCCTGCAGGTTCTGCAAAGTTTAAAAGCCTTGGGCTCTTGGCATGCCTAGGAGCCCAGAGGGTGGGGTGGGGTTGGGATTAGGGAAACCCCACTCCCAAACCTTACTATATACAATATATACACTAACAACTAAGACTAGGCTAAGCTAACTATATGAAAACACTAAGGGAAGCACTTGCTAAGCAAGCAACAGCAGTTCCAATGACAGTCACTGGCGGTAAGAAGGAACTGAGGAGGGGCCGGGTCAGCAGGGTCATATATTAAGCGCCATGAAGGCACCACTCCAAGGGGCTCCACAGCTGACCCGACGGGAGCTCCTAAAGGAAAGCTTTCCAACAACTGTGCACGCGGAACATGCACACGTGATTGGAATGGACATGAACACACATCTCGAAGAACAGTTAGGAGAAGGTGAGTAACCGTTTTTTCTAAACACTGGCTTGCAAACTCTCCTCCAGCCAGCAAATAAGGGCTGGAGATCCATCTTCCCCATTCATGGGAAATGCCACAACATATTACATCTTAACCTCTTTATATGGGCAACAGACATCCCCCAACTGCTCTCCTAGGTCAAACACCTCACTTTTAGCCCCTCTGCCTTCCCACTGCAACATGAAACATTTCATTACACTTTCCCCATTCACTCCCTGCTACTGATCATCCTGCCAACCAGGACAGAGGCCAAAGATCTGTTTGTATCCAATCAAATCTACATATGCAGTCCCCTCTGTGGAGGAGTAAGACAGCTACTTAACAATGCACAATAATTTACATGACAGTTTAGGATAAAAAATGACCACCACTGTACCCAGATGAAGTTCTGATCCCAGCATGCTCGGCAGCAACAGCACAGAGAGAGAGGGTGGAAAGCCTCTGCTCTGAGTCTTGACTGACTAGCTCAGTGATGGAACCTGTGCCCAGTCTGGCAGGAGCTCCCTCCTCCCACTCAGGTTTCCTTCTAGTTCCTGTGAACAAGCTGCAGCCGAGCAGCTGTGGGACAAATCCCTTTCATGAACACTGGGGCCAGAAGCAAGTGCCCCACTGGCCAGATTCAGCCCATGTGCCATATATTTGGCATCTCCTATAGAAATAATTTAGTTAGGAGTAATATAATTGGTGGGCCAGAACCTGAGCAGAACACCAGAGTTAGCACCAAAAAAAAGTGTAATAATTCCATATAAGTGTCTGGGCCTTGATTTGAAATTTCACCTTATAGCACCACTAGCTGCATCGCGTCCCACTGCACTGTTCTGGGGGCACTGGATCAGTGCCCCCAATTGGATCGCCAACATCAGTAACGTTCTTTGGACGTCTCCAGTCCTAGTACCATCCCAGTCTGACCTTGCTTAACATAGGACAGATCTGATGAAACCACAGATCCAAGATGTTATGGCTCAAACCATAGGGTTCTACAGCCCTACATTTAGAGTGTAATATGCTAATAGTAACAAGCAAATAAAGGACAGGGAGGGACAACATGGTGATCATGAGTGAAGCTTTGGATGTGTGTGAGGTTAGCAGAAATTAATTATTATTTTTTAAAAAAGACCTTCTTACTCCTCACCTCCAAGCCATTAGTGATTCTTCTCCCAGAAAAACCTCCACTTATGCTACTTTCATGAACTGGACTGTTTCCAAAATCCTTTGCCCAACTAAACATTTTATTCTATAAGAGAGTAATGTCTTGTAGGTGTCATTGTCTGCACAGTGAAATAGGACTTGCTAGTAGGCATAGTTTATTGACCCAATTCACTTGACACAGAAACATGCACACCCAAATAAATGAAACTATAAGAATTGGATCTGTTTCATACAGTATCTTGGGCACACATTTCACAAATGTATTTCCAATTCAAATTGAACATCTCCCACAATTTCCATCTCTCTGAGCATTTTGGATTTTGTTCTATTTAATCATGCTCATCAATTCTTGTCCTGTTCCAACCAGTGAAAATGCCTTATCTTACTAACTGCAAAAGTATGTTAATTCAACAGTAAGGTTGCTTATTTAAAAACAAAGTGCCAACAGATACACCGATTTGGCTGCAGCATACAAGTCTGTTTTAAATGTTTCTCCTAAAACAGACAAATTCAACTTCACATTTAATGGGAGAAATGGGAACAAAGTACTATATATGTGCTACTAAGCAGAGTTAACACTGTTCTTGGAAATTTAACCTTTACATTTCCTCACTGATTTTAACTGGGCAACTGTAAAGGGACATTAACTTTGTTCTGTTGCATTTATTTTTCTTTTTAAAAATAAAATGGGAGAGAAGGAAGGGCAGAAATTGCCTATTCTCAGTATTAACATTTAAATGGTTTCAAATCCAGATTTCAAATTCAAACCCTCTCTTGGGTGTGTACAACGTAAGGGCATGGTGACTTCCTGCACCTGTGCTGCTGCTATTGTTTAGGTGGAGATTGGGTTAAAGCAATCCCCACCCCTATCTTTTTTTTTTTAAACAAACAATACAATACAAGTAGGTGTGCTGCATCAGCTGTGTCTGTGTAACAAAGGTATTAGGAAGTCTGAATAAAATCCTCTTCTATGAAGATACCCACAGTCGGAGTACAGGGCGCAGGAAAAAAGAGTAGGTCTTGTGGAATTTCTTTCAGGGGCCACAGAAGAAGGGTTTAGGAGTCCACAGAGGAAGCAACTTTCCAAGTATTTCGGATCCATAAGGATGGGAACCTCTCATGCCATGGAAGTCCAGCCTATCTATGTTGCTCTGTGGCCTTCATGCCATACTGTTAATGGGGTTCATTGGGGAGTAGGTAAGTGAAAACCCAGCAGCTGGGCAAAACTCAAACCCAGTTTTGTAAAACGCAGTTTTTGCACCACTGCCTAAAACTCCATTTTCCACTCTGGATGTTCACTACCCAGTTTTCAAATGCAATTCACTTAAAAAAAAAAAAAAAAAAGATTTTGATTGAGTAAAGTTTTGATTGGGAAAGTTCACCCTTTCCAGGCCAGGTTTCAAACTTTAGTCATTTTTGCCATAGGCCTGTTAAAAAGTGAGCTCAGATTCTCTTCCTTTGGTTATACACACACAAGTTTTTTGTTTGTTTTTGGGTGGAGAGGATTCACCTTCAGGAGGACTATAAGCATGGAAAATTTCACTCCAAAAGGCTAATAACTTTCTGAAAAATTAATATGTAAAAATGGGGTTCTAACATTTTGTAACCTTGATCTCTAGCAATTGCTAGCCCACTATAACAAAGAATGGGTTTGGAAAGGTTTTTAAATGCAAACTTGTGCCATGCTATCTATTTTATTCTATACAAGGTTTATAGCATGCTCCTCACTGTCACATTTGGGCCCCTTGTCTTGGCCCTGATTCTGAGAAGTGCACAATACCCCCAAGGTAAAGGTGAAAACTTGACTGCTCAAGTGTTCTTATGGGTACTCAGCACCCTGTAAGGAGTCAGCTCCTTGCAGGATCAGTGCCCTGAAGGCTCCCGCAAGACATGAGGAGCGTCCACTGTTAATAGAAAATTGCAGCCACTTTGCACCTCTCAGGATCAGATCCTTTGTTACTATCATTGCTCAACTTTCCAGAAGATGTCCAGATTCTAGTGAATGTTTTCACTTGTAGAAAACAGGACGAAAAGGGAAGAATTGAGGCAAACTCCAAGCTCCTTCTATTTGCATTAGATAGTAAAACCGCACCTTTCCTTTTGTTTGGCTACATGACTTTCTAAAAAACTTCTACAATTTATGAGTTAACAATTACACAGGTGCATATTTTAACAGGCTATGTCATCCTTTCTAATCCAAAGGAAGTAATTCTCACTAGTGGTAGGCAGGAGGATGCAACACTAAATTAATTTTTTTAATATATATTTCTACATCCACACTGAGCAGATGCCACATATTTCACATTTTTATCTCCATCATAAATTTGCAGCTCAATCCTTCAATGGGTCAGTAATAATCATGCACATGTTATAAAAAATTGAAGAGTGTGCCCTTCAGCTCCAATAGCATAGTGGCACTAGAATGCAAGATGGTATTAGCTTCTGAAAAGGAAACAAAATAGAGTCTGACTTGCCAGCCATGCATGCTAGAAGAAAACAGGCTCTACTCTTTGACAGCTCAGCTTGTCCAAACTTACTGTTTTCCTGCACCCTGGCCACGAAGCCTGTGAGAGGTATCTGTGGAGTCAACTGAGGCATAGGGGGAGGGGGTGGAGCAATAGAAACTGGTAGCAACAGAGACCATATTGGGGAAGTCAAACAGATAAAGGGAAAAAAAGGAAACAAACAAGAGCAGCTGTCAGTAACGAGGACCACAAAACAAAGTATGCAAAGAACAAGAACACACACAGAAGAACCTTCTTCAAGTTTGTTTTCCCAAAAGCAAAGCTAAAGCTGAATTCATGTTTAGCCAATTAGTGACTCAAGAAAGAAAAATATATTTATCTGACAGAGGCAAAATCCAGTCTGAATGTTCATAGTTCAGAGGACATGAGAACGAAGGATTTCACTCATTAGCACCTAGAAACTGCACAAAACAGAACTTCCTTATTCTTAGTTAAAAAAAAAAAAAAGAAGAAGAAGGATTACTCCAAAATTCTGTGATTTTTAAAGAGAAATATTAATGGGACATACAAGGTTTCAGAGGATGGTGGTCTCCTGCTGTTACATAATAGCAGACACATATGGTGAATATATAAAATAAATTTGAGACAAAGCAAAAATGTGTTTATAGGAGCAGACAATCTGCAACTCCAGCTATTATAAATTATTTCATACTGAATGACCAATGATTATTTTCTCATAGATAGTCACTTAAGTGCTTCACTATTTACTATGCTACTGTGGCTCTATTGTATTTTTATTGGTTTACAAGAAAGACCTGCTCTCCCATTGGCTGAAACACACAATAGCTTGTAAATTGGTTTCCAGCAGCATAAAATTTTGTTTTCAATTTTTTTAAAGCCTTCTATAAATATGAGCCACCAAGCAATCTGAAGGCGGGTGTAGGTTCCAATGGTACAAATGGCCCTCCCATGCATATGCAGAACTCTCATCCAATTAGTTGAAATGTACGAGTGCACATCCTCTGAACTGTATTCTGTTGATCTATTCATTTTATTGAGCAAAGGGTTTAGTGTTCTTTATAAGTGTGTATGTGCAGTCAGTGCTCATTAAAAAGGCACAGGACTGACTGCCTAGAAACTGAAGTCCTCTCTTTATAAAGCACAGGCAGTAGCAACACAAGCTCCCCTGCACTGACTGACCAAAGTGTGTCAGACTCGTGCTGGAAGGGGACAGTAGTTCAGCTCCATTAACATTTAAGCCTTGAACTCTGTTGAGACTGCCATCGAAGATCTGTTCTGGTGTAACATCTCCCCAAGAGGATAAAAATAGACCAACTCATTTAACAAATTAAGTCATTTTTTTTCAGTTTTAAAACTTTTACATTTAACTATAAATGAAAACATTGTGAGGTGTGAATTCAGCAGAGTAATTTAACTGGAATCGTAAAATTGAAAGAGGTTCTATTCTTCTGAGCAAGCAACAGTTTTAAAACAAAGGCGTAATTAACATTGTTTGCTGAATAAAGGCAGCATTTAGTTCATTCCAAAACCAACTATTTCCCCCATATAATTTATCAATGTAGAAGTGTGAAAGGGGAAAAAGAAAGCAGATTTGTTTACAAAACTGAAACAAACATTTCAGAGAAAAAAATTACTGTTCGTAAACATGAAAGTGTAACCCAGGGGAAACAGGAAAAACTGGATGTCTTGTCAAGACAACAATGTCAACAATCACCCATTTTGGAAGTGGATGAAAATAGTTTCAAGTGAAAAAATATGCCCATCACAATACCTTTTAAAAAAAAATCTAAAATCAATGTTTTGAAGCACTGTATACAATCCAGATTAAGGGATTATACTTGCATTTGAACAAAGAAATTGCATTCGGAATCTAAATTTTCAATAATAAAATCAGTTACATAACATTTGAGGCAATTCACCCATTTTAGAAATTAAATCTAGTTTTGGCATCTGAACATCACTATTGAAAATGAACAGCTTCTCTGAGTTACAACGAATTATTTTTGCAGTGAAGTGTGTGGAGAAAATGAAGGGGACTGAGTATGTCTGAGGGGCCTGGGGGAGAAGAGGAAGGTAAATATTAGTTTAAATAAAATAAATAAATAAATAAATAAATGTTGACCATCCCAGGAGCTTTCCATCTATATAAAATTGTTTTTCATTGAAAATGAACTCTAGATCAGTGGGGAAGTTCTTAATCTAAATGTTTTTCACATATCACATACATAACGCTAGAGCAGCACCAAGACAGTCCTTGATTCTCTTGCAACTGCAGAGCAAAAATATCAGAGAGATGATGATGTAGCAAAAGTTGCAGCTAGCAGAAAGGTATCTTTGAAACTAGGTGAGACCAGCAGTAGGGCATTATTAATCCATCTTGGGGTTGTGTGTGCGCATGACCATAATTTGATGGGCATAATTTAGCTGCGAGTAGGGGCGAGAGTAACACTGGTTTGCTACCTAAATTTCAGGCCCTCACCTGGAGTAGAGGGAGGGAGGCAGCAGAGGCACAGACCAAATCTGCTTAAGTGCAGCAGTGCTCAGTAGTCAGCACTTCCCCCAGCTAACCAATCAGCTGCTCAGGGAGGAGGTCCTGCTTTGCAGCACCCTGCTTCTAGGGGTGCCCTGTTGGGCAGGTGGCATGCTGCTCTCTGGAACTGGCTCATCTCTTCTGCTGCCTGCTTCCCCCATCCAGTGTGGAGCAGGAGGCTGCCAGCTTGACAGGCCAGGGAAGGGGACGAGCTTGCTGCAGAGAAGAGACCAAATCACCCCTGTCCTGTTCCCCCACCACCTCAGACTCAGGTGGGGGGGGGGGAAAAGAGTGAGAGACTCTGGAAGAAGGACCCAGGAGAGGCACGAGTTCAGGTAAGGAATTTGGAGGACGGGGTGCTTGGGATGAGCAGGAGGGAGGGGAGAAGCTGGACATTTGGAAGGCAGAGCCGGGGTGTAACAGTGAACTTCTACAGCTGGGAGCCTCGGGATGGGAAAGGTGTAGTATGGGCATCTGTGTTCTTGCTCTGCTGGCTAGGTGACTCCACTAGATGTGTGAGTGCAGGGGTATGCTAGCTGTACATCCACAGGTTTTTCTGCTTCATTCCACATCAGTCTTTTCACAATTCCCCTCTTCTTAAATATTTTAAACATAAACAGGGGATTTAGTAATGACTATGCTAATATTTTAAACCATTTAAAAAAAAAACATTGTGACGATATATTTCTGTCCCCTAATCAGTTCTTTAAATCATGCTATTGCAGTTAGTGCTGAGACGTGAAAGGCCTAAAGGGAACTCAAGTACTGGAGAAATCCCATAATACTGTGGTTATTTATTAAATGAAATAAGAGAGGAAAGCAGGTAATATTAACGCTATGCAAGGAACATGATTTCCAGCTATTTCATCCTGTGGTCTCAGTATCAGACAGCAAGACATTTAACAGTGATAGCCAACAATTTTTCTCCTCATCATTTAAATTTTTAGTAGAACAGGAACATTCATAATGTATTTGAAATATTAATGGTCCAGTTTTAAACAATAGCTCTCTCTACAGCCAATATTCCAGATCCTACCAAATTAGTTCTCCCTTCAGAAGAGCTTATATTTTTGGACTGTGTGCACAAAAGTACACCCAGCACACCTGAAATGCTAAGTAACATTTGCTTATAATTAATTAGGTAAGCCTGGTGTTACCCATTACATTAACTGCTTGATCACTTTCTAGGGAAAAAGTGTTGTGTATAATTCAAAGGAGGCAAAGTGTACCTTTTTGCTATTTTTCTCAAGTAGAGGGAGAAAACCAAACAGCATTTGGATTCTGATTGTTGCCTATCACAGAGAAATCATACTTCAAATCATTCAGCTCAAAACATTCTATGATTGCTGCATAACGGCAAAGCGCAGAGGCTTACTTGAGTTTTGAGAATAGAGAGGCCCGCCATTAACATGAGGTTGAGCAGAAAATGGGGCAGTCACAGAGGGATTCCGTCTGTATCCACTAGAAGATGCTGAAGAAGTGGTAGAGTTGTGTCGTGAAATTTGCCTGGTCATTGTGCCATACTGGGAACCAGGAGCTGAACCAGGAGCAGCTGAAAAGCAGTAGCGAAAAGGAACCAACAAGAAGACTTAAGCCAAGTATTACTTAGGACAGAATGCAGAAAACAGAAAAAAGACCCAGAACATGGTGAATACTTGAAACCAACAGCGAGATATTAACAAAACAAAAAAGAAACATCTTGTTATACCAGTCCTGTGCTATCAGCCATGTAAAATACATAAATAACATTCATAAAAAGATCTCATTTATGTTTCCTGAAATGTTGTAGCTATTTTAACCCACTTATACAGAATGTTGGATCAGCTTGTTTCCTAATTTAACTGAATTTTTGTTGTTGCACTACCTGTTAAACGAAAAGAAAGAAGCACACTTTGAGAAGGTTGCATATCTTCTTGAAAGCAAACATTTTTGCATTCTGAAACAGATGCCTTCAATCTAGCCAAAGAAAAAGCATATTTGTGTAGGTTAAGAAAAATAGAGGGAGAAAAGGACACCATCACCACCAGAATAAAGTTTTTAAATTGGGTGCTCAATCAAGCATAAAAAACAGAGTGATACGATTCTAAGACACTTTCCACATTTATAATTTCTACTGCTTAACAACTGTGCTTCCATACAGGGAACTTGCATTAACAAACTAGAATAGTCAACACAAGATATTTCAGCATTCTTCTGAGAGATCAACACCAATTCCTACCTGCCTCACATCTGGTCTGCAACATTCTCAATATTGCAGATTAGTAATGAATAAACAGTCCATCTTTTTTCATTTTTGCTATGTCATGTGTGCGTGTGTCACAAAAGTCAGAATTTCACACTATGCAAACCGATGAGCGTCTTGTGTTGCTTGACCTCTTTTTGCCAATGTACAAGTTCTTTTAAGATTCCAAATGTAGTAACAGTATTGGAGTAAAATATTACTACATGCACATAGATGTAAACACATACCATACATACACACACACAAAGTACATTCTGAAGTTTACAGACTAATATAACACTATTCAAAGTCACTTTCACTTATTTCAGATAAGAGAAAGTGTACAAGGATTATATGGGTCAAAGCCTCTAAAGTTAGTTTTGAGGTAAGAGAATGAATTCTAATAATTGTCCTTGATTGGGATGGTGAACTAAAAGTTCTCTAAGGAATGCTCTCAAAACTCCTCACTAACAGCTATGCGTGTCATTCATTGTGCAGCTTGAGGAGACAAACTGACAGGGTCCTTAATAATGACTTTAATGCTTGTGAATCCAAGGTGCTTCAAAGTGCCAAAGAGCAATGAAAACTGATTTCCTTCACCATCCCACCCAAATCTACCAGGAAGCAAGTCACTTGTATCTTCTCATTGGCTCATGCAGGAGAATTCCTGAAGTCTCCCGGTTTTGTATCTCCATGAAGGATCAGAGAATTGTACCCAAGTCACTGAGCCAGACATTTCTGCTTTTCCTTTTACATTTTCCTTCATAATCAGTTCACAAGAGAAATCCCTGTATGCACCATCTCCACTCTACCCACTACTGTTTTCAAACTACGGTGTACTTTATTGGTGAACTTCTTGTTTTCCCATCCCCTCTCCCAAACACAAGAACACATGAACAAGGACTACACTCAATCTGAACTCACATTGTTAATTGGATTTTAGCTTTAGTGGGAATATTAGGATTCAAAGCAACTAATATAGTTTTTCCATACTTTATTTATTTACCTTCAGAGGCTTTCACCACAGGAAATTAGTTGGGATTAGATTTGTTAAAAAAACCCCACTAACATTGATGACTACACCAGATCACGTACACCCCACTACAAAAGGCAAACGGCTTCTATAAATCCATTAGGAGGAGTTTATTATTGATTATGTCAAATAACTGCAATCACGCCAGCGCTGACACAAGTCTCACCTATCGTACTGCCCATCGGGAGAGGTGGTGGCAGTGGTGGTGCTGGCGGGACTCCAGGAGGAGGAGGAACAGAAATTTGTGCTAATAAAATAGTTCATATTGCCAGTTAGGCTAATGGCAAAAGAGCTACATTTTAAAAGACAACAGGAACGCAGAGACTTTACAGTATAAGAAAATATTCAACATTATACACACAGGCCCCGATCCTGCAAAGGGTTCTACAATTGCACACCTTTTCTCCTGCAGGGAGTACCTATCGATTTTACTGGGGTGCTTTGTAAGATCCATGCATGCAGATCCCTATGCAGGCCAAGAACACAGAGTGGGCCTTAAGACTTAGTAAGAAGTGAACATTTGTAAACAAAGAAACAAGATACAACAGCAAAGTTCCACCTCAGAGTAAAAATCTGACTTGTGAATACCACCAGGCTAGTTTCTGAAACTAGGATGGTCAATGTTTTGTCCAAAATAGCTTACCATGCCTATGTGACACACATTCACTAGGCCAGTGATCATGTCTTACTTTACTGTCTTAGCTCTTGACTGTAACAGCCAACTACAGCACCTTCAAATCGCTAAAAGTTCTCCAACTCAAATGGTAGAGGCACGTGCTTTTGATGCTGTGCAATAAGCTTTAAATGATTTTCACACTACGATTCACTTTGGTTTTAATCACACTGGTGGATGTTGTTGAATTTCACTATTGATGGTGTTTGTTTATTCCTAGGCTTTCTTTCAATCTCCTTTAGTGGTTTAATCGAAAGAAGAAGTTTGTTTAAAATTGTAAATAATTTTCTAAATGGTAAGTGATAAAAATCAATAGACTATTTCAAAAAACAATTCCGATCATATGCATACAGAATGGCTGTTTCTTCTTCTCAGGACATCTAAAAATGTCTACTAGTCAACAGGCGTTTGAAAGCATGGATTCCACCTGTTCCTTATATCTTAAAAAGAAAAGATAATCCTGATTTTTTAAAAAATCATGTTACAATGTAATGAATAAAAATGAATGAAAAAAATAGCAGCTGACCATTTTTGTCATTTTGTTGTCTGTTTTGGGAGTGATTCTCTTCCAACCTCTTCAAAAGGGAAAGGATGAGAACTTCAAGGCTCCCTTGACATTTATGAGAAAATGTCTGAATGAGTCACATTGCAGTATTAGGTATCATAAAAAGAACCTCAAATACCTGGCCCAACAGTTGGTGGCGAAGGTGTAGGCACGGCAATGGGAATGCCAATACTGCTGCTTCCACTGTTCTCTCGACTGCCACTTCCTCCACTACTACCACTAAAGGGGAGGAGGAGACGACATGTCAGCACTGCTTTCCATACAGCCTCACCAACATTCATATCACTTATCTGAACAGTGACCAAATAAACTAGCTCAATTACATAAATGTGAGGAAAAACCCCCTGTAGACTGACTGTTCCTGAAACCCCTATTACTTACCGCCCTCAGATCATTAAATCAAAATGTATTAAAACTCTAGTAGATACAGATATCATTAGCTAAGCTGTTAGCCACTTTTTATACATCTATGGCTTTTAATTACTTATAACTACAAATGTAAGCAACTATACAAGATCTAGACAGCTGTCAGTCCAATGTGAATACTGTAATGGTTCCAGGCACCTTAAATTAAGTACAGTAACTCCTCACTTTATGGTGTAGTTATGTTCCTGAAAAATGCGACTAAGCGAAACAATGTTAAGCAAATCCAATTTCCCCATAAGAACTAATGCAAATGGGGGGGTTAGGTTCCAGGGAATTTTTTTTTCCAATCTATATATTTTGTAGACACATAGTGTAAGTTTTAAACAACTTAATTCTGTACACAGCAATCATGATTGTGAAGCTTGGTTGAGGTGGTGAAGTTAGGGTGGAATATTTCCCAGGGAATGCCTTCCTGCTAAATGATGAACTAGCACTCAGATGAGCCCTCAAGGGTTAACACATTGTTGTTAATGTAGCCTCACACTTTACAAGGCAGCACAAATGGAGGGAGGGGAGACAGCATGGCAGACAGACAGAAACACACATCCTGTGAGTGAGAGAGAGAGAGAGGTGCATTGCCCCTTTAAGTATGCTGACACCACACTAAGTACATTGCCTTTAAAAAGATCAGGAAGTTGAGACAGCAGCTGCGGCCAGCTTTCTCGGTCCTGAGCCCTGTTGTGTCTCCCTCCTGCTCTATATAGAGAAGGGATAAGCAGGGGCAGGAAGACACCCTGACATTAGCCCCCTTCTTCCCCCCTCCCCTCCACAGCAAGCAGGAAGCTCCGGGGAGCAGCTTGTGGGGGGAGGGACAGCTGAACAGCCGGCAACTGATAGCCTGCTGGGCAGCTGCTGCTCAGGGAAACTTAGGGGAGTGGGGAGCTGATGGGGGGCTGCTGCTCCACCCTGGTTCCAAGCCCCCACCAGCTAGTTGCAACAGTCTGCTCTTCCTGCACGCAGTGGACAAAGCAGGCGGCTGCCAAACATTATAAGGAAACATTGCGCAACATTAAATGAGCATGTTCCCTAATTGATCAGCAACGTAACAACGTAACCGGGCCAACTTTAAGTGAGGAGTTACTGTAATGATAAATTGGGTGTGAAAAGGGTTCAAGCATAAACTATTTGTAATTCCAGTGATGTGTGCTATAATGCTGAAGAAGTCTCCTTTTCCTAAATGAATACTTGTGTTCAAGTTTATTTTGAGTCATTAACAATTCTACTGCAACTAGCCCAGCCACTAGCCAGAGAGAGCAATGATAATAATTTTGATAATTTTTTCATGCAGACATCTTGGAGGTCATTACATATTTTTCAACCAAATGGAAACTAGGTGATAGATTCTTACTCTAAGGACAAATTAAATAAATATGCCTTTAGCCAAGACTTGTATTTACAAAGTTTCAACAGAGAATTAAACGGATGTGGTGCCCTGCAACTAAAAAGCCATTTCTACATATCCATCCTAATAAAAATATAGTAGCACTCAATGCACTTTATTTACCATTTCTATGCAACCATATATAAATTGCTAGCAAGGAGTCAGGCACAGATCATTCAAAAAATATCTTAAGACAATAACTTTACTATCAAAAGAGAAAATCAGTGATCTGAACTGGGAGCCAAGATAATTCCTTCAATATTAGTGTTCTGTATGCTGAAGATTAACTGCAGTCTACAAAGAAGATCTTGTTAGACAAAAAAAGGGAGATTGTATGGCTGCCAATTAAACAGATTGCATCCTGGTTTATAAAATACTTTAATCTGACAATATTGTTCAACTGACAGCAAGCTGCTCAAAGATGAAGTTAACATGTTTTCCCAAAATCCATAAGGACTCCCTGAACTGCCATTATGCTATTAAACATTGAAACAATCACATCATATCTATTCCTGGGACAATAAACCACTGTCTGAATCCTGTCTGTATTCAGGTAGCCATTGTCAATTTATTTCTTGCAGTTTGACCAGAGACTGTATTGAAGCCTCAACAAACAGATTGAAAGGGCAAATAGTCAATAGGTATAGAGACAGCACTACTCTCTCATCCCAAGAGATGATCTCCCCAGAGAAAGTACTGTTCTGCCAACGTGCCTCAGTATGAGGAAGCTGACTGGCATTGCTGAACTGGTTCTGTGGATAAATTTTAGCTTCCAATATTGTCAATCTACCATGTCACAAGCAGAATTTTTCTCTGAACAATAAAAGCAAACCACACTGCTGACAGGCAAACTTCATTAAAGTATTTTCTAATCAGGAACGGCTTCCCTATACAATTAGCAGCAGTGAAAGCACTTACCTGTACACCTATCCCGGCCTAAAGTCTGAAATAAGTTAAATAGTCTGACATATTCCATCTCTCTATTCACTCCTATAATTTCTGAAATTTTGCCTATTCTGATGAGGCAAAAAACGATAGAAGACAATAAGTCGTGCACTCAAAGCTCTGTGTGTGTATGTATGTACATATAAACAAACAAAGCTTCTGTAGCATTAAATTTGAAAAATTGATACAGATCCTACTGAAGTTAATAGATCTAGAGGTACCAAATCCAGACAGCACCATGTATAAAGAAGAATCTAAGGTATTTAAACTACATCTGTCTTCTCCATCCACCTTAGAAGAAGCCAGGCATAAAGCTTTGCTGCAATGCTGGTGAGTGTCAGCATGCCAGTCAAGACACAACCATAGAATTAGAAGCAATGTACTCTACCTGTGTGTTCTTGGTCTCTGGTTTAAGGAAGCTGTTCTTCCTGGACTGTGTTGGCTTCCAAGTCTGGCAGGACTGGTCATGTAATCATTAGGAACAGTTGGAGGTTTAACTGGCTCCAAGGTTTTGTAAGGAGTATTTCGTCTAGTCAAATGAAAGTGGGTTGGAGGAGAGAAAAAGCTTTAATTAAAGTAATGAAACCATTTATTTTCCTAAACCTTCACTTAAGATCACTGCACAGTGACCCAACATTACCATATAGAAACCATCTCTGAAAGTGGCAAATTAAATAGGTGTTTCGTTCAACATGTTAAAGGGACTAATTTTAGTCACCTTTCCAGGACAAATTATATTTTAAAAGGTGAAAGGGAAATTTCAGTGTCTAGGTAATATATGAAATAAAACCTACTGAAAAAAATTCTTTTGAAAATGCTTTCATACAGTTAAGGCCAAGCTGTATGTTCCTTTAAGCTAAAAGCTAATTTAAAAACAAAAACATCAAACACATGGCCACAAAACACTCGTCAGATTACAACAACTATATGCACATGCTATGCAACGCACACTTATCTATTACAGTGGTGCCCTTCAACAGTAGTTAAGATAATGTTTACATAGAACATTTTGAGGGAGGTACAAATGTCCTAAAAATTATTTTGCTAAAAAGTATTCACATTCTCACACCAGGAGCATGTTTGGAGTCCCTGTTCCCTTTTTTGAGGGAGCTCACAGATGGGGAGGAAATCGGAGACTATGAACATCTTTAATCATTTGTGCTGCTTCTTGTTAGATTACAATTTAAACATACATTATATTAATTCAATGACTCAGCAATATAATAGAACCTTACTAATTATTAGGGGGCCCATTGCAAGGTTCTGAATTTGGTAAGCAAGACAAAAAAGCAAGGCCAATGCATCACAAAAACTATGATATATTCAGTAATCTGCTGTAGTTAGTTTTAATTAAGTTACTTAATATGTTCACTAGAATAATATAGTGTTACACTTAGAATTCTTACAAAATGTCTCAGGAGCACTAGACCTCACTATTACTAAAACCATTCCTGATAAACAATAGCCCAGTTGTTTGTATGGATTTGTGAATCAATGAGTTTCTATCATACACAGAACTAGAGAAAGTTTTAAAATATGAGCTGCCATTGGGCTTCTGTTGTGTCAGAAAGATCAATCATCAGAAAATGAAAGACGTGTGTGCATCTTAATCTCTTATAACTAGAACACAAATATGATTGAAACTGCAAAGTAAAAAGACTTCACACAGACTTCCAATAGGAATAACCTCACAATTTAAAAAAACATAGGATGTTAACAATGGGTATTCCACTTCTGGACAAAATGTGGGGAGGAAATAGGAGTAGCCCATGTTTCGATAGCTTTGTTTTATGACGACTCTCTTATATAATCTGCATATATAATTCCCCCACTCCAGTTCCTCGGAGCTGACTTGGCTAATGGACAGAATCCAGTTAAGCAAGTAGGCTTTCCACTGCTCAAGGCTCTGAACATTCTCTCTCAGTAGTTCCTTTCACAGAGCTCAGTCATTCCTTTTTCTATCAATGTGGTGTTAATACCTACTACCTTCAGGTGGAACTGCAAAGGATCTCAAGCCCTCCTGCTAGTCTACATTCTAATTTAGGGCTCCTAAGCAGGCAGTGGCTGTCCATTTCCCATCACACCCTTGCTTCATTTTTTCCTGTGATGCTTTTTCTACTTGGTCCAACTTCTTCTAAGCTTTTCCTACTCTGCCTGGGAGAAGCTGTTTCCTAGTTCTCCTAGACCTCCTGCTCCCTCCAGGACTCTGTTATACTGAGCTCAAACTCCTTCTTATAGATCCCCTCCCACAATCACCTGGTTCCTTCTTTGTAACCTGATCTTTGGACGCACCTCTTCCCCCCGGCCCAACTACATTTCCCAGAATTCCTTTGCCTTAGAAGGGCCAAGCCCCAGCAACTGACCAGGTGGCAATGCCTACTCTTAAGTGTGCTGCTAACATGCTCTGTTACACTCCTAAAATTGCATATTTTGTGTTGGTTTTAAAATTTCTATCAACAGTTTTCAAATGGAAAGAAAAAGAAGCAAACTTTGTGGTTTCTGGCAATATTTTTGCATGCTTGAGGTAAAGTAGCAGAATATATTCTAGATGCATGCACTTCGATGCCAAAAGATAAAAAACGGCACACAACACTCTTTCAAAAAGAAAGAGGTAGATGTAAAAGATGTAATCCTTGCTGTGTATTTTGGTCGTTCCCCCAACCAATCATCTCTTCCCCTCAATATCCAGGATTTCACCCATGATCTTTATCCACTGTTTCCTGAAGGATCCCAGCACACTTCACTCTACCCACAGCTGAAATACAGCATACTCTCTGGTGGGATGGTCTCAATCAAGCAGGTAACTGGAGCCTATGCAATACTAATCAACAGTGGATCAAGATTCTCATTGAATCTTCTGAGTGATCCATAACCCACTCCAAGCAAACAAAAACCCGGAGAGTTTTTTTGTTTTGTTTTGTTTTAAAAAAACACAGTACATTATTACATTTTGATATATAAACAGTGACAGTGCAGCACTGCATCAGGATTAAAGTCTTCAGTGCTTCCAGAGCCCTGCAACACTCTTAAAGGGGGCTGTAGTTCTCCCCACTTTTCTTGCCTGGCTCTCTTGATCCCCACTGTGAGCTGCCTTGTAACCAATCCCACCATTACTCAGCTCCCCAACTTGGAAAACTAACTCATCCGTAGCTGCTAAATCTTTGCCAGCCCACCAGCGCTCACGTTCCATCTACCGTACCCTACATGTTAAAGGCAAAGATTCAAGTGACCGTGAACAGCAACATCCCTAGACAGGAGTTTCTGTTTAAGATCTCAACCAAAAGGCCTCACACAATAGTCCAAAACAGAATTGCATTCTATATACTCAGTGTTTTCAAGTATCACCATTTCAATCCATTTCATAATAATCTGTTGATGTACAGAGGTCAAACAGCAGTGAAACAGAAGCTGAAGTAGAAAGTGGTTGTGCTGGGGGGTGCAGTTCCCTCAATTAAGCATTAAAATTTTCATTCAAATGAGCAAACAAATGAGAGTTAGTGTTGCCAGTACATCCTTAACTTCTCTCCACACACATTTTCTTTAAATATTGCACAAAGCATGGAATGCATTTTCACAACTCTCCTCTGTCAAGGAATCAAGAGTGAGTTAGCAACAAAGTAAGATTCTTAACACTGAAATCCTTTTGCTTTGTTAGTGTAAATGAGAACCTTAATCAAAATTCATTTTTATTAAATATGCAATAATATTTTTGCCTGATTACTATAAGAAATGAAAACAAACCTCAGCCACTTCAATCCGTAATATAAAAATACTGCCATGAAAAGATAGTTTTTTAAATGAAGCCCCTTTGAAAGAATCAGAACATTTCAAATGTTTAGTATGGAAAGGTGATCTGTCTAACTCACTAGAGCCCAGAGGGTACTCAGAGCCTTCACATACTCACTTATCCAGGCAATATTGATATCTGCACAATTAGAATTCTCTCTTAGAGAGGCTGGATGAAAGTCTCATTCTTACCCCAGAGTTCCCCGGCCTGACATAGGAGGACTTGGTGGTTTTTGTGTAGGTGGATTTGTCCTTGACAAGGTGCCAGTTCTTGCAGGCTGGTTATTTCCATGCTGAAATGAGGGGAACATGATTTTATTTTTATACTTAAATGTCTCTACTTTTGAGAGTTATTTTTTAATGTAAGAATAGGAAGTGAGGATTCCCAGACAGCTATTGAACAGCTCGTTTTATCTACACCCTAGAGAAGACAACAGGAAAAGGAAACAAACCCTAAACGTAAGTTTCATATTGTTTTTAACTGTCATTTTACAGCTGAAGTACATCTGAAAATTAAGCAGATGACAAGTTCATGCAAAAAAGTCTTCCCCTTTTCCCTCTTTAAATTACTATTACATTCCATTTGTGTGTCAGTTCCACTATGAATATTTTAAATAAAAAATTAAAGCTGACTCTATAAAACTGTCAGTCTTCGTTCAAAATTTCTCACTCAATTTAGCTCAGCTATTTGACTAGCACAGTCAAGCATATTGTCTGGGAAACCTCCTATAAAAAAAATGTAAGTCGATAGGATCAAGGCATCTACCAAATCAGAGCAAAGCGCTACATGTGTTAGAGAAATTAATGTATCTATGTATAAATGCAAATGTCAATATATCACTGATATATTAACACATCCAGGCTAAATGTTGCAAATCTGCACTGAAGTAGAGCTTATTTAACCTAAATAACCTATGAAAAGCAGAAAGAAGTAGAGGCGAGTTCTAGCTTTCAGTTTTAATGGCTCTGCAGCCTCAACTATCAATACAATGAGGCACTGTGGGTCAAATGAGAAATGATTCTTCTTACCTTGGCTTTTAGCCACTTAACGTTGGCAAAAAAAGGGGGGAAAGCAGAAATTAATAGCAGATCTATCACAACTGATAGGACAACTTTTTTAAATAAAAACAAAACAACAACAGTAATTCATTTCCCTAACAACTTACATTGCATCCCAGGTATGCTGGTAAAGATCTCATGAGCTCATAAGCAGTCACAGGACAAACATCACAATTAATAGGCATCTCCAAACAAAACACTTAAGAAACTTACATTTATTACCCTCGTGGCCAGCAAAAGGGACACATGCCTCTTGCCAGCCTTAAGTTTCTAACACCAGTTTAAGATGTTTGGTTGACACTAATCCAAGACCAAGAACATTTTATAGTTATAAAATATCAAAACCACACATTCGCTATACAATCTCTATCACACATTACAGAATGTATTAAACCATCAGTAATTTGGGAATAGAACCCAGAATGGAGAAGTCCTACCTGCTGCACTGAATGGCAAAAAAGAATTCAAAGAAGGGAATTCTCAGACTGGATATGCAACAGAGCCTTTCACCGCTCTAGGTTGCTGCTTGAAATCCAATCCAGGTCACTAATGCAGCAGTGCCAGCTCTTATGATTTTATTGCCAGCATCAAAATTAGCATTTGTCTTGAAGTTCTGACTTTTGGAGTCAGATGATGATCTCTGCTTTTGTTTTAAAAAGTAGTATGTTTCTAGCCCTCATGGTTGCAAAGGAAAGCATAAAAATGTGACTTCAGGTTATCCTAAAGGCTCAAAAATCAGAAAACATAAAAAGAACACAAAATGTATTTTTTTAATTATTGGGGGGAGGGAGGAGGGAAAAGATACCTGCCTCAGTTTTTGAGTGGCTGGGGGAAGCAATACTGATAGTGGTAAAAAGTCATTACCTTTTGTTGGCTGTTTGGAAGCAGTTTGGCATTTTCTGACCAATCCCTAAAAAAAAGTTGTCCACGTAATGAGAAATCTAGCATCCTTGTTGGCAGTTTCAGCAGTAGTCAAGATATAGGAAGTGGAACTAGAGTGGGTCCCTCCAACTCTAAGTCTGGACTGAATTTTATTGGCAAGAGGCAGACTAAGGATGTTTATGCTACTATCGTCTCTGACGCACCTGTTCTATGGATGAATACAGAAGTTCAGTCTCCAAGATTGTCAGACTGGTATCATCCCCGAGCACTATATTTTTAAAACAGCTACTAATTTCCTGGAAAACAAACTTTTAGCAATGAATCTGCTTTTGTCTCCCCATCTACTATGTTCCTTCCCTTTTTAATTTTTCCAGTTGCTAAGGACAATGGCGTAAAACAAGGAATTCTGCTAAGAGATCAAGAAGGCCATAGATCCTAACCTTCCAGCTGAAGACTTAGAGAAAGCATGGCATTTTAGCTCAGAACTCCTCCCAGGTCTCTCAAACACCTAACCCCTCCTTTTATCTCAGTCCCACCCCCACCCCTCACCCCACCCTGGTCTCCCAGCATGGTCTCATTCATCCAGGTTTCTCAGATCATTTAGTTCTTTTGGTCAGGACTATCTACAAATAAATGATTCTTCCCCCGCACCGCTTTGTTCCATCATGCTCCGCCTCCTCTGCAGAGTGGATGCAGACATCTAGCAGTGATTCAGGGAGCTGCATTTTATTTCAAACACTAAAAATTGTAGCCACATTGTCTAAGAATACAGGAATAAAAAAAGCTTACAGATTAGCTAACCTTAGATGTTCCTTTCACCAATAATCAGTCAATTGCACTAGAAAATCCAAGATTTTTCTTGATGACTACTCAACTAACCATTTTTAGCTGTTTTCCTTATTACTCAAATGAGAATATCAGGAGCAGCCCTATGCCAAAACAGCAAAAGTATAGCCTGAGTAGCACGTTGTACGCATGGATCCCCTCCCTACTTTTCTGGTGGAGTACCCGGATCAATTTTGGAGTATCACATGATATGGTATTGGTATTAAAGAAGAGTCACAAGCAGCCAGGGGCTATCTTGGTAGGTGGGAACTGAGGCATAATGAACAGGCTCTCACACATTGCTTCTCACTGGGCTCCTGAAAACTCAGGGATGAACCTAGAAAGAGATATGCATAACAACCCAGAGGGTTCTCTTCCGGATTCCTACATGTGATCTGCATTCTGGAATTGGAGATTTTTAGTTCCAGTTCTGCCACTAACTTTTGGGACTTTAGGCAAGTCACACTGTCTTAGTTTCCTTATAAGTAAAATGGAGGACAATACTTAGCCTCAGCGGCTGTTCTGGGACCCAAAGGGACAATGTCAGGCCAATATAGGCTCTAAAACAAATCTTCTACAAAAGTAAACATCAGTAGAAAGATTCCGTAATATTTTATTATTTTAATGGAACTTTATTTTTAGATTAGCAATATGCCATATATTGTTTGCAATCCAGTAGTTACAGATTCCTGTTAATGCTGTGTAACCAGAAAGTGAAATGTAAGCAGATGTAGACAATGAACAAAAGGGATAGTACTTTTGTTGTCCAAGTAAACAAAAATCCAGTTGGCTTTTTTAGATTTTCCCTTTTTATTACTCTAAGCTATTATTAGCAGCACAAGAAAGAAAATTTGTTCATGAATTATGTTCAACTTTTATGTCTCTGAAAGGTTTGTAAAACATGTAAAATAAATGTTTGGCTTGAGATCCTCAGATGAAGGGTTCTCTATTAGGAGAACGTTACATTACGTTTATATTTTTTAAACATTTCAGTATCACTGACTCCAAGCATTCAAAATCATGAGTCAGGCTCCAAAACTCAAGAGCTTGGCTTACAAAGCAATAGGTTTTTTAAAAGAGGGTGGTGGGAGGCACATTAGCTTCTAGTTTTGTCTTTCAGGATTCACGCTTCCAAGGTTTTCTCTGCAACAATGAACTTTTTCTAGAAACTTACTTAACAAAAAATAAATCTAAAGCGGAGATTCTCACTTAAAGTTAATTTGGTGTTTTTCTTAAAGCACCAGCTATCATGAGCCTCATGATAAAATTATCAGTGTTGGCAACACTCATGGTTATTTTTAACCTCAGTGTCCTTTAATCTACAGCAATATGTATTGTTTGATAGTGACCCTCTGAATGATAACATGGCAGCAATGCAATTGGCAGAATGACATGAAGTGCTAGTGTCTGACACTAACCAATACCAGGAACAAGGAGAATTCAGAGTCTCAGGCTCCAAATCATTGGCTGCTTGTAGAAGTGCCTATTTAAATCTTTCTAATAAGTCTCTACAAAAATAGTTAATGCTCAGCTGGATCCAACATAAAAGGCCTTTCCCTACAGGGGAGAAAAACAGCAGGTGCACAGAAATCTTTTCCTCATAGTCTTGTCTTTTGTTCTCTGTTTTATGTGGTAGATATAAACATGAAGAATGTAAGTGACTAAGCTGGTACATGGCAAGCATTCACAGATGTTGAAAATCAAACCCACTTCTCATATTTAAGTACTATGGGATTTGGAGCCTCCATCTCCAGTTTAAATTTTCTCCTTTCCCTATCCCCTGCATCTTTCTTGGGTCCATGACTGATTAATCAATCTTCACCTTGTCACAAGTGCCTCATATCTAGGAGATTTTAAAATTCTTCCAAAGTCTCCACTTAAGGTGCTCAGTCTTCCTGTAATTTTTAAAAAATAATTACTAGTTTCATACAATAAACTCAATCAATTGTAACTACTGGACAATTCATTTAGTGAGTGTTAAACACATTATCTACATTTAGCATAAAAATGCATTTCCATTTCTGCTTTAAACCTTCATTTTACAATCAGGTGGACTGAGACACCCTGATAGCACCAATTCTACCTGCCTTTCATTTTTCACGCAGAATATTTTAAAATTCTAGCAGGGCTGCTAGACAGGCATAATTCTTTTCAGCAACATTCTTTAAGCCCTGGATTTTCTGTATGGATAACAGCATTTGACCTATTTTTTCCTTCACAAAACAAAAGGAAGAGAATGGAAGAATGGTTAAATTAACTTGTGTCTAATTTTTTTTTTAAGTTACTAAGCCAGAGTCTTCATACATTAAAGCAGCATTTCATGTCATGATAGGTTCTGATTTACATGGGGTTGAGGAGGGAACGACTTCAGTTATGTCCCCCTGCCCTCATCCCCAGAGAATGGTTGCTGAGTGACTATTTAGTATCTAACAGACTGGCAAAATCTGCTTGTGTGTACATTATTTCTTGCAACCATTTACACAGAACGTTTGTTCAATGAAAAGGGAAGTGAGCCATGTTAAATCTAATGACAAGTGCAACAGTTTAAAAAAAAAATCCACTGCTCACATATGATGCATCAAAACCAAAAACTTATGGTATCCCTGGGCTCACTGTTCCCATCCCAGGAAAAATCCTACAACTGGAACAGAATTCTAAGCACTGCCCCCTCCAAAGAGAGAGGTTTGAGCATTGTGGAGTAGAGATATGGGGACAGCCTGAAAAACTCTCAGACCCACAAGCCAATAAGAGTATAATTAGGTAGATCCTGGGCCATTTTAGGGGTGGCCTGTCCCTGTGTGCTAACTGTGGACTCTGGATCCCACACAGCACCCAGGTTCCTTAAGGATCTGGGCTGCCGCTGATTAACTCCCTACAATGGTAGTGTAGCCTTTTGGTACATCGAAACTGTGGTGGGCAGTTTATACTACTAGAAACATCATCAACTCCCACAGCGATTTCCCCAGCAGGAGGGAAATATACTATGGAGAACAGCTGCTGCCTATCTTCTCCCTCCCCCATCAGCAGAGCATCAACCACACAACAGCTGCTGATCTCATGGGCTCAGAGGGCGGGAGAAATACACAGAGCAGAGCCCTTCCTCATGCCTCTCCATACATGTTCCTGCTTTTGCTTCTCTCCTTCTGCATGATGATCCACTCCCTATTCCCAGGGTGAGATTCAAAATAAAGTGTGAGAAACTTTTGTCCCATTAGGGAAGGGAATTCAGGAACAAATACTTTGGGAGAGAGGAGTATTTGAGTAGTTCCAGTACCAGCTTTGTTTCTATCATTTTTTTTAATTGAATAATGAGAGTCAATTTGAATTTATGTTTATCAAACAAAACAGTTCTGGTATTGCTCACTGCAAATAATTTTTAAGGCATTTAAATATATTTAAAAATATTCTCACACAGACATTAGAAATCACAACTGTACAGACTATGGTTCCACATTTATTCTGGTGGCTTCTCATGTTTTCCTTACCATCTCCCCCATTTTGTTCTTACCTCCACCAAAACAGAATGAAGTCACACAAACAGTGATAACTTAGCCCTTATAAAGAATGTTGTTGCACTGTTTGAACATTAGTTATCACTGTTTGTGTGACTTCATTCTGTTTTGGTGGAGGTAAGAACAAAATGGGGGAGATGGTAAGGAAAACATGAGAAGCCACCAGAATAAATGTGGAACCATAGTCTGTA